GTGTGCAGATGGTGTGTGAGGTCTGGGGGCCCTATGCTGCCCTCATACTTCCTATAGTCTGATTCCAAAGAAGCTTTGTAGATATGCACTTGGGGCATAGCACTTTCCTGGCATGTGTGAGACCTACATTTGATCCTCATCACTGAAAAGAGCGTTAGACATCAAGGAAGTTAAGTACATGTCCTTAAGAACCAGACTACCTGGGTCCAAAGCTCAGCTTCAGCTTTGCCATTTACCTACAGATCTTGTGTGAATCCCTGAACATTTCTGGGCCTCCTGGTACTTCAGCTCTGAAATCAGATGTTAATGCTTGTCTCACACAATTGTTTTGAGGGTTAAACGAGTTAATACATGTTACAAGGTCCTTAAATAAGAACCTAGTACATCCTAAGTATTCCATAAATGAATCATAAGTATCAATAAAACCCAGCAAAAGCCATGTGTGGTAACTTGGTCATGAAACAACGTATTTTTTCTTCAATCTAGATTTCAGGGCCCTCTTCAGCTAGAGAGAGAAATCATTTAGTAAGTGCTTGTCCTAGTCTTACAAGCACGATGACCTGAGTTTGATAAACCGAGCCCACATTAAAAAAAAAAAAAAGCAGGGTATCACAATATATGCTTATAATCCCAGCACTGTGGATATGGAGACATGCATCCCTGGAGATTGATGGCCTGCCAGCCTCGCCTAATTCATGAGCTGCAGGCCAATGAGAACCCCCTATCTTAACAACAACATCAAGAAACAAGGTGGATAGCTCCTGAAGAGTTCAGGGTTGTTTCCGGCCTCTACTTGCATGGTTGCATGTACACACACACACACACACACACACACACACACACACACACACACACACACACCATTCCTTCAATGCCTCTTCTTCAACCATTTGTTGCTTCTCAGACTGATTGCTCAGACCCAGACAAGTACGCCCCCCCCCTCTTTCGTGCGCACGCATGAAACTGTAAAAGCTAAACAAATTTGTTCTCCCTGAGTGCTTTCAATCATTCTTTTTCTTCAAAGGTGGAAGGGAGGTATATATAGTTTTTCTGTTTTATCTTCATATGCTTTAGAGAAATAACTATATCCCTAAGAGAAGTCTAAAAATTGTGACTTTTTGAAATATAATCATAAAGCTCCACCCATGTTCTTATCTCAGCACTAAAGATTTTGGGAGTGACTAACATCTGGATTCAGCAGACCCTACTGAATGAAAGAAAAACATAACAGCTATTAGTAAAAGTAAGGTTCAGATTGAACATTTTAAATGGCATGCTGTGCTATAGAGGATAAATTCATAACTGAGGATTAGAGGAAGACCTTGGAGTATATTGTTCTTTTAATTATTCCCTGTGTGCCATGAGCTGCTCCTTAGCTTTGGAACTTCTAAAGTAAATCTGCTTCAGTATGATTTAGAGAGATTGAAGGCAGCAATTGACCCTGATGGTCACCAGGGAATACAACGTAAATGGACTTGATTTTTATCCTTTTAAAGGTCTCAGAGCCAGCTATGGTGGCACACAGTTTTAGTCCGAGTGGAGGCAGGTGGATCTCTTCTGTTCAAGGCCATTCTGGTCCCAAAACAAAACACGACTTTATGCACTGTGTGTTTGCTTAGGGGTAAGAAAGATCCAACCTGTCATTCCCACCCAGGAGTATAGAAATAATATTGGGAACTTGTGGAGGAGCATCCTACAGTACATGACCTGTTACCATGTGACAGGCAACAAGAACCATCACTGGATCAACAGAGCGTTGATCTTTAGCCAGAGACTCCAGAAGAGAATTTCAAATGCACCATGATACGCTATGATTCAGAATTTTCTTCCCTGTGTTGATTGGCATTCCTTCGATTCTTTACCAGACTATTTTTGCCTTGTGTTAAAAAGTCCTGTATGGTTCCAAAAGAGATAGCCATTGGCTTTAGCCCCAACGGGTGGAGCTGTTACAGAGTCAAGAGTGAGGAGCCTGTTCTTCTTACACTGATCTACCATCCAGGCTTGGGCAGTTTGGGAAAGTTGGGGCCCAAAGCCTGGAATGCTAGTGTATTGAAGTGTCTTCTAGAAGGGGGGTGTACTGTGGGGGATTCCTACTTCTTTAGATCTCCTGGCTATTTGAAAAACTCTTCCCTTTATATAAATAAGGGTCTCATCCCACAAATGGGATTTGCTTCCTAGGTCCTGAATTCCCTTCATGTGCACTATTGCATGGTGGTCTGATTTATGACTCTGAAAAGAAAGAGTATTTTTTTTCCTCTAGCTTTAGTGTTTAACACATTCTTTTGTTCCAGTTTTCTTATAATTTCTCCATCTCTCTTTACAGTTGTAGTATAATTTAGTGTTCCCATAGCATCTTATAGCCAAGTGCCTTGTGATCGCTTTTAGCAGTTATATAACAAATCACATGCAGAGCATGAGCCAGTCTTAGCCAAAAAATGAAATGGAAAAACATTGCCATAGCCAGCTCCATAATCTTTCTTTAACGAAGCTCCACTGAGTCATACCATTTCATCTGGTCTCTGATTTTAGACTGGAGACTGATTCAGACTCATTTAGGGGAGGGCATCACAAGATCTACCACATTAATGATTTGACTTGTAGTTAAACTTGGGATGTAACATGTTGTTTCCTAGAGTTATCTCCTTCAAGCCATGAAAATAAATAATAGAACAAGTGATTTGGAAAATGGCCTCTTGAATCTACTGACCTTCACTCGAACATTTTTGTTCACTTCCTAAAGGTCTGTTCTGTAGAACAGGTGTCATATTCTAATACAGAAATTCTCACTTAGTTTGGTATCTAACAGCATAACCCCAGACACATATTAAATGCTCAGTATCTACTTGTTGGCCCTTTAGCTTTCTACGTTTATTCCATCAGGACTTTGCTAGCTCTTAAGAATAATATTCAACCTACCCAGTGCTTCTCCTTTACTTCCCCTCTAGCCTCCTTTCCTTCCTCTGTTGCTTTCTTTTGACCGTCTGTCTTCTCTTACTATTTTTAAGCATGGCATCACTCTTTAGTCCAGGCTAACTTTTACTTGCTGTCCTTCTGCCTCAGCGCCCCCTCCCCCAGTCTGGGATTGGAAGCATACTCTAACACATCCAGTTGCATTGTGGGGTTTTATACATCATTTACGTAACCTGTACATCTTTTAAGATCCAGCCGTTTAGCAGTCTCTCTAATGTGGACCGGAACTAAAAGAAGAAAATAAGCACTGCCTAAGAGTAGACTGTCCTGTCTTCTGTTAGGGATGGCAGGACACGTGACACATCTGGGAAATCTTTGTGTCACAGTGTTCGATAAGGTGAGGTACTGGAATCAAACGGGGGAGGGTGGCTGTCAGCAGGTTGTTGAATCTCATTGGCTACAGTTTGCTTATCTCTACAGTGTGAGAGCACCATCACTGGTGTTAGGCTAGGCCCCTTCCAATGAAGACTTCTGTGATGCTATGACTTGGGCACCCTTCCTTCTTGAGGCCTGTTTGTTCATCTGTAAAACGAGAGGTGAATGAGTATCAAAGTCCTAACAATGTGTGACTCCAAAGGAATGAACTTTTAGCTACCCTGAAAATCTAGTTATCCAGAGAGGCCATTCCTCAAAGGTATTGGTTAGCCAGAGTTTTACTCTACATTAATACACAGTTAAAGGGACTAATTTAATGCTTAGGAAAACATTTGGGACTGGTTAAAACTGTGGAAAAATCCTAACTCCTTGTAGAGAATGTTGACTTTAGTATATACAGTTACCACCTTGTTGTTGCATGCTTTTCCCCCCTTTACACTGCAGTTCTGTTGGGAATAAACCAGAGAAGGGTGTGTGTGTGTGTGTGTGTGTGTGTGTGTGTGTGTGTGTGTGTGTCCACGCATGTCACACACACATACAACAAATAGCCTGATAGTACCATTTCCTTTTCCTGTTTGTAAGGGCACTGTTGATAAGTGATATCCAAAGTAACACACCAGAGCAGGTGACATGCATTGCCAGCCACCCTGCATCCCAGTATTTGCTCCCTTCCATAGTATCTGCTTCTAAAAGTCTGTGCTTGAACCAGTTGCTGATGATAGTGAAGAATGCACTAATCCTCTGATAAAGGCTCTAAAAGAGGGCAGAGAGAATTAGTCAGGAACTTTGAGTTAGCTGCCAGCATGTGATACCTAGCTGGGATCCTTTCTGTTGATGGAACTGAATGATGGGATGGAGTTGGCTCTTTAATGACCCCAAACAGTTTTATCCCCAGAGCTAGAAAGATGACCGTAAATGCCCTTGCTCTGTAGCGGGTGGCTAGCCCAGTCTGACTTCAGTCGTGAATTTTATCTTTGCTGTGTGACTCCTTGACAGACTTTCATCTATAGGGTCTCTCCTCTACCTTATTTGAAAGAAAAACAACAAAGCTGTGCTGTGCACATGTTTGTTCATTCCACTGATGCCCGTGGGATGATCCCTTTACCTCTCCACTTAAATTCAGTAGCTTCTTCAAAATTTAGCAGAAGCCTCATCTCTTCCCTTCCATGATACAAAACCACTCCATAGTTGACTGTCCACAAACCCTGCAGTGTTTAAAGCGACTCATATCTTGCCCTATAGGATGTATTATCTTCACCTTCTGCATAGCTTTGGACATAGAACAGAGTATGCGCAGGTACCCTTGGAAAACATAGTTGGGGTTAACATGCAAAGGGCAGTCTGTAAATCGGTATTTGAGAAGTTGTACCTATGTTTCAGTCTGGTACTGAAAAGCAGGGATTGCAGCAGAGTCTTAAGTTCCATCTGCAGTAGCACTCAACAAATGAATAAAGAACACAACGTACTTGCCCATCTCTAACTCCAGCTTCCCAGCACCTGTCGTCCACTTGTCTTTCTCACTCCAGTTCACTTCCACTGGAGGCAAGCCTAATTGAGAGCACTGTTGACTTCTTGAGCTCCTGCTTGAGCCTCCACTGCCAGCTGTGTCGACTTCAACCCAACTCTGGCTTTCTTTCTGTCTTGCCACACATTAGGTGAACCCCACAGCACAGTGCACGCAAGCACTACTGAAGATGATCTACTGTTCCCACTGCCGGGGCCTGGTGACTGTGAAGCCCTGCTACAACTACTGCTCAAACATCATGAGAGGCTGTTTGGCCAACCAGGGAGACCTCGATTTTGAGTGGAACAATTTCATAGGTAAGCAAGCCAGGGATTGATGTGTTTGTTTTCCTAGAGATGACTCCACTTCTTGCCACCAGGACTGTTGTCGTTGCCAGCTGTGAAATTTTCTGTTCATCTGAATGTGAGATGTTTGCCAGAGTCCTTCCTGTACTGCACTCAGTACTTCAAAAGCTAGTAAAATCAGCATTGCAAGTCAGTGTCCTCTTGAACTAATGGTGGCATTTCAGAAGACAGTTAGATATACCAGCTTTGAATGCAGCAGGAGGCATCTTTTTGATATTTTCTGTGAAACGCTCAGTTTTAGTACTCCTTCTAGATCTGTGTTCATGTTCACTCTGATATACAGTCTTCACAGAGCTGTGAAAGTAGCTTTGAAGATTCTCTCTTGGGCTGGGCAGAGGGCTCCATTGGTAAAGGGCTTGTTTTGCTAGAACAAGGGCCTCTGTTTGATCTCTACAATCAGAGACAAGCTAGGTGTGGTGGTACTCTGGTAATCCAAGGGCTTGGGAAGTAGAGGCAATCAGCCTAGCATAAACGCAATGCTCCAGGCCGGGGAGAGACCCTGTCTCGAAAAAATTAAGGTGACAGGAGCATCCTCAGGGATCTTGAAGTTATCCTCTGGCACAAACACTCCCCCCCCCCCACGCACCTCTCTCTCCCACACACGCTATTCTTTCTTTTATATTTTAACCAAATATTTGGCAAACTGACCAGATACCCATTTGATAGTTGGATCTGGTGAACTATGATGTGGAAAGTTACAGGATTTTTTTTGTAGGGGATTTAGCTATGGTAGAGTGCTATGATGTGAGTAGACAGATTCTTTCTCTGATTATTTAGGAAGCAGCACTGTTGAGTATTTCTGCCACTTAAGAAACCATTACTAGAAATCAGACAGTACTGTAAACAAGCTATCTAGGTTCTGAGAAGGACAGTTATGATTTCAGGGAAAACATAAGCCTGATTGAAACATCCAGCAGTCATCTACTTTAGCACCCAGCATGTACATCAGTCTTAAAACCTCCCTGGCCGGTATTGGGGTTCACAAAGCCTAGCATTGGTATAACACACACACATGCTTAGAGTGTACCAATTCATTCTTCCATCCCCTAGTCACATTTACAGAATTGCAAGATTGAAATGTCTTTATAGGAACCAAGTTTTTGCTAAATCTTTCACATCATGGGAGCATGCATGTAATTTGCTGGCTTGGTTTTGCTTTATTTTGTTTCATTTTGTTTATTGAAGGTTTAAATTTTTTTGGAGTAGAGGGAATTGGAGTAAGAAAATACATTTTAGACAGAGTGAGAGTGAATTGCCATATTAAGTCTGTTTGAAAGTGCATCAGTAAATTGGCTCCCACCAATTCTTAAACACAGAAACTGGAAGAAAAAGATATAAATATTAAGCACTTAAGCACAATTGTGGCCTATAGCTCAAGGCTGGAAACCCTGGAAAAACCATCTTCTCCATACAGAAAAATAGAATCTCATGAAAGAGGAAACATAAAACCATAAGGACACAAACACAAATGGTGTGGCATGCCCAGGATGAAACCAGGGGAGAAATCAAAAATTCCCATGGAAATAAAAACCATGGTATTTCCCCCACCCCCATCATACCCTCCCCATAGCCAATTGTGGAATTTGTGATTCCCTTACTTTTTCTTCCTAAATTACAGTTTTCATTTGGCTGTTGTTTTTCTTTCTTGCCATGTAGCCCAGGCTGGCCTCCAACTCACCTTCCTCCAGCCCCTGAATCCAGATGTCTAGGATTACAGGTGCACTGCACCACAGCTGGCTCCACTTAGTTCTGAAAAAAAGACGGTGGGACTTTTATTTGACTTTTGCACATAGTAGGCTTTTCTGTGGGACAAGGGAATAGTTTGGCGTGTGGTGACGGTGAGCTTTGATTCCCTTCGCACCCAGACACCCTGAGGGCCGTGCAGGGGCAATTCCACCTTACGTTCTGTTATTTCAGCCTGTCCAGTAGCACCTACTACCAAGGCCCTCTCACATCCTTGTATTAAACTACAGATTCCTTGCCATCTCTTCTAAGATCTGACAGATCCACACCATATCGAAACCATACTCTAGATGGCTTAATTAATGTTTTCAGCCTTAAGTTGCTGCTGCAGTTCTTGTAGTGTTTTTTTTTTTTTTTTTAAATTACATGTGCTATCTGTGAAGAGACAGAATTAAACCCGACTGAAAATGGTTAGGATTTTGGAGTTGATTTTTTTTTCTGCTGCTATTTTAAATGATACTTTTTGGAGTGATATAGTATGCAATTGTATGTAAACTTCATTTTTAAGGGATACATTACTCTTCATTTCTAATAAGCTGATATAAAAGGCCAGACATAATAGAAATGTTAATCTCCTGTTCTTTTTCATAGAATTTTTACAAGGATTTAATTAATCTCCTCCATGGTTGTAGAATTCATTCCCAATTACATGCCTGTGCTGTAAATATTCATATTCTCTCCCTCTCTAAGAAATTTTTCTTTGCTGTTTAAATGACTGCACAGTTTATGAATAGTCAAGGATTTGTTTCATCCCTTTTAAAATCATATCTTAGGGTTAAGTTGGGAAACTGCCTTCAGCTCTTCAGTCAGGTTGGAAGGCTAGAGATGGGGGTTTCTGATTATTTATTGGAGACACAATGAAAAAGTAATCACTTTCCCTAGTGAGAAGGGAATACTTCTTTTTCAACATTGTTTCTTATGAGCATATGTTAATTATACATAATAATGGGTTTCATATGATATTTTCATGCATGCATATAATGTATTTGATTGTACTCATCCCCATTACCCTCACTTGTCTCCTCCCACTCCAAGTCAGCCTTGCTGCTGGGTTCTCCCTGTTTCTGCAACTGCATCTGCCTATCTCAAGTTCTAAGTGCTCAAGTGTTATCAGCCTTCATCAGGATGGGTCCAAATTTGGGCCCAAATATGGAAAACACCTTTAGAAAGTCGCCTTTATAAAAATGTCTGCCCTTCCATTACCACCAAAAGAATCTGGTTTTCAGAGAATCATAAATTATTCTTAGGTTCAACTTGTCTGTCACATACTGTGCCTCTGTTAACATTCGTTTGACTCAGAGCCAACCCTTTTAATGTCACCTGTTGCTGCCAATGGGAAGTTCGTATTGGAATTGCTGACGGAGACACCAGCCAGTTTCTGGTGGGAGGCAGGAGCAAGTATGATATCCTATGCATATGAGAATCGTGGCTTCTGTCAACCCCAAGAAAAGTAGAACACCAAACCAGCCATCTTTGGATTTGTCCTGGTATTTCTTTGGGGGACTGGTGGCAGCTGAAGAAGGGCCAACGGGTAGCCAGTCATGCCTTCCTGCAGGGTTCCAGGCAGCGTTGGCTTTGGGCTGTGAGCCGCAGGCACAATGCATCCCCCATCGCATTCTTCAGCTGTGCAGTACGCAACGCCATGGCACCGGCCCCAACAAAGGCCTGGTCTCCCTCTCCATTCCCAGGCCCTTGTGTATGGCCAGAGGCTCTGAGTTTACAAAGACGCCAAACAGCCAGAAGAATTGGGGTTTATGTTTCCTTTCAGTCTTTCACAAACACATTAGCGATCGATTTGGCCTGCTTTTCCTCGCCACTAGGGGAATAAGTAGGTACGACTCCCACCACCGCCGTTTAAACCTCTAAAGTTTGGTTGTTTGTTATCTATTCATAATATTTCTATTTGAAGTCAGCGATTTCTTGGCTTGTGAAGGAATGTGCTTTCTGTACGTGGTGGTCCTGATGCTTTGACAGTGACAAACACATTTACGTTTTGCTCCACTTGTTTGCAAAAGTCGCCTTTCGCTAGCACATCAAAAGCATTTGTTTCTCTCTTCTAGTACAATAGCATATTCATGCTTTCAGCCTTCACTTAAAGGTTAGAGGCATCATTTTATTGGTGCTTACCACAATGCAGTCTGAAACTTCATTTGCTATTACTTTAAAGTGTCACACTTACCAGCAATCTGTTCATTGTTGGTGGCATTGGATTGTAGTTTAGAGAAATGGCCTCACACTTTAAAATGTTGTGTAGCATTTGTTCTAGGTGGAAGGTAAAAGGTTGATGACCAACTTTGATTTCATTTTTATGCGGATAGTCAAAGCCTTTTCCCACTAGAAAGTTTAGGTAGCATCGGAGAGGGACAGCCAGCCTTCTGCAAAGGAATACTCTTTTCCAGTTCTTGACATTGGAGTAGCTATAGGAGTAGACAGTGAGGATCTAACTCCTTTGCTTGTTATTCATTAGCACTGGAGTATAAAGGAGGAAACCCCATTTAGAAGTTAACTACTGAAGCTCGGCTGTGACGAGCGCTTATCGCTCCTCCAGAGGACCCAAATTGATTACCCTCACCCAGGTCATGTACCTCACAATCACCTGTAACTCTAACTCCAGGGGATCAGACAACTGTGGCTTCACAGGCACCCACTCTCCTTTGCACATGTCCACATGCACACACACACAGACACTTACAGAAAGCTTTTCAAAAGTTTACTGCATGTCAGCAATTATGCATCCTTCTTTTCCTTGGGGGATTTCACTTTCAAGAATTCTTCTAATTTTGTACAAGTTATCAGGCAAAAAAAATACTACCTTATAATCCCCAAAAGCACATATGGCAAGAAAACAAAGAACAGCTTGTTTTCTTTAAGGAATCCAGCACTTGCTAGGAAATGACAGGTTCCTCCACAGTCTAAAAGTGACTTGCAGGTATCAGTGAAGCTATATAGCACAATTGGACAATTTTTGTATACTGTGTGTTGTCTTATGCTTTCACTGGAATCCAAAAAAGCATACACATTGCTACTAAATCAGTTGAGACCCTCACATTTGAAAATGAGTTATCTTAACCTCAAAACGGCACAACTCATAGTTTCCTTATTTGAAGTCATTAGGATTCCCAGAACATTTTCATTTCTATTATCCAACTGTGCACTCAAGGATCTGAAATGTCTCATTAAAAGAAATGAAAGAAAAGAATTGGTATGCCAGGATTGTAACTGATTTATGTTTTCAACTCTCGTAAATAGAACCTGAAAGGAAAAGATCCCAGGGAAGTGTCCGAGAGAACAGGCATGTTACTCTGCCCCCAGCCAGATTGTCAGCTGGGTGCTGGCTGACATGTGAAGGAGTGAATAATCCAAATGATGGAAGATTCCTGATTGAATTTCCTTGCCACAGAACGAAGCATTCATCTGTCTCCTTCATACTTTAGCGAGCTAGTGATACATAATGCGTAGATAAAATTTAAAATCATGGAAATGGCTAGAAAATATGTATAAATTGAAAAAAATCTGTGCATTCTCTCGTTCCCCCTCCTTCTGGAAAAAAAAGAAAGGTAGTAAAATAATCAGACTGAGAGTAAAATCTGAACTAATGGTTTACACTCTGTGCTGTATTGTCTTTCTCCAACCCTTATTAGATGCTATGCTGATGGTGGCCGAGAGGCTGGAGGGCCCTTTCAACATTGAGTCGGTTATGGATCCCATCGATGTGAAGATTTCTGATGCTATTATGAACATGCAGGATAATAGTGTGCAAGTGTCTCAGAAGGTATCAAATGCAGGATGCTGGGCAGGACAGCTAGACATGCCCTTTGGCTTGTCATGTGACATCCCTAATAAACTCACTCACTTACACTGTAGGTTTTCCAAGGCTGTGGGCCTCCAAAGCCCCTCCCAGCTGGACGGATTTCTCGTTCCATCTCTGAAAGTGCCTTCAGTGCTCGATTCAGACCTTATCATCCAGAGCAACGCCCAACCACAGCAGCTGGCACTAGTTTGGACCGACTGGTGAGCACTTTAGCAGGAATGGGTGTGTTTAATGGCAAAGAACTGCAAACATTTGCTCAAAAATGCGCTTTTAGTTGGAAGGCATACATGTGCATGTCGTTTAGGTATTTAACTTTTTAATCTAGTTGTATATGGGAGGCAGTAAATGTGCCTCATTTTCTGTTTCAGAAAGTTCCTATACAGTCAAGGAAATGGGTTGTAACAAGTTTCATCTCCAGACTTCCCTTCAGTGTCAGTGTGTGTTTATTGAGCATCTATTAGGGTACTTGCCACTAGGTTATGCACGAGGGGAAGCTCAGGACAGTAAGACAGGGCCTTGCTCTCAAAAGGCCTCAACAAAGGGAGAGAAGCAGCAATCGAACTTGTTCAGTAAGAGCCAAAATAGTCTCACAACTAAACGGTTTAAAATCCTGAATTGATGTCACATGGTAGCATTTAACTTGTTAAGGTCATGTATGGATTTACTTTTTTGACCAATAAGATAAATAATGCAAATTTAAAACATTATTTGCACCATATACAAAATGTCCAGATGTGATCACTATCCACCTTGTATATAAGCAAATGAACAAGTACCTCTGTAAGTCCTTATTTAGGTAGAAGAGACATCTTTACCATGGGCTACTCTTTTCTAATCATTTTTTTTCAAAGTAGATGTCTTCATGCAGTAAGACAACCTTGATTCAGTTTGTCTTCATTGTATTTTAAATATTTAAAAAATTTCCATTTTCGTATATAGGATTTTAAAGTTAAGTGGGTTGAGGGCAGAGTGGCATATGGTTTAGGCTTCTGTGAGGTGAAAGGTGATAATGGTAGAATAGAAGAATTATAAAATACAGACAGATTATACATGGCAATATGCTATGGCAATCTGGGAGTACTAGTACCATAGTAGGAGCGAACCTCAAGCAGGAAGCCTGATAGGATACTGATGTGAAAGGAGGAAGAACAATGCCAGTGAGGTTTTCCTGTGTGGGATGGATGCTTGATTCAGACTATAAAAGCCTGGGTGAAAAGACTGTGTTTACAGGGTACAGAGCTTGGTGTACCTCAGTTGGCAGTTACATGAGGAAATAGACAGTGGATCCAGGCAGCTTCTTTAGAATTTGCACTTGAACTATTAATTTCTCTGAGAGATTGTCTATTTCTGAGTATAAAACCTGCATATTTTCTTCAGCCTTCCCTTGAAACAATGAGTTGCATATAATTCTAGAGAGATTTGGAAATGATCAAAAGGCACATCCATGAATTGTTTGAGTTGGGCTTAGTTTTCTACAATGGGTTTATGTCAACATCACTATTGGCTTGTTTGTGTTTTTTATTGTTTTATTTCATGTGTTTGGGCATTTTGCTTGCATGTATGCAGGTGTACCACTTGGATACCTGGTAAGTGTAGAGGTCACAGATCCTCTGAAACTGAAGTTAATAGCTAGTTGTGAGCTATCGAGTGGATACTAAGAATAAACTCAGGTCCTCTGCAAGAGGAGAAAATATTCTTAACCACTGAGCCATCTCTCCAGCCCAGTTGTTTGTTTTAAACGTAGATATAATATGGTACGTGTGTGCGTGTGTGCATGGGTGTGAGCAAGCAAGAGACAGACAGACAGACAGACAGACGCAGTGAGTTTGGTTAGGGTTGCTTACAGAAGCAAGGGTGAGGGGTTATTTACAGCCTGCTGGGTGCTGGGATGGATCACACATGGTAGTTTTGCATTTGTACATGGACGGACCATTTTCCTTTTCTTTCTTAGGTTACTGATGTCAAGGAGAAACTGAAACAGGCTAAGAAGTTCTGGTCCTCTCTCCCAAGCACTGTTTGCAATGATGAGAGGATGGCAGCGGGGAATGGCAATGAGGACGACTGCTGGAATGGCAAGGGCAAAAGCAGGTCAGCCTCCACTGAGGAATGTAGCAGCCTCTGCCTTCTTGGCTTCCTGGCTGGCCTTCCAAGACGGTGCTCCCTCCCGGGTGTTACAGATGACACAGAAGGTTTCTAGATGTCCTTAGGCATGGGCTTCGGCCTTTCAGTGTTCAAAGAGGCCCCCAGATATTTAGAAACAACTAGGCTTGCCAGTAGTTCTACTGCAGTGCCAAGGGCTGTTCAAAACATTCAGTGCCTGTGGCCCTTGGCTCAGGGTCCTGGCCTTCTTAAAGCACCACCTCTCAAAAGGTCACATTCTCTTTCTTGATGATTCGGTGTGTCCCACCCTGGCACACTCTGTGACTGAGATAAGCACCCGTTCAGAGGGTGTTTTTCTTTCACAGAACAATCGCCACAAAAAGGGTCACGGTCAGATCACAGAAACTGTGCATTCCCAGGGTAAGGAGCAATTAGGGTTGATTATAAATGGAAGGACTTCTGGTCCACCAGGCTCAGCGAAGATCCTAAGATTCATGGAAGTCTTTGATCTCTTACACATACCTACTGATCATTTCAATGGGGTCATTTCTTCCTTTCAGGTACCTGTTTGCAGTGACAGGAAATGGATTAGCCAACCAGGGCAACAACCCAGAAGTCCAGGTTGACACCAGCAAACCAGATATACTGATCCTTCGTCAAATCATGGCCCTTCGGGTTATGACCAGTAAAATGAAGAATGCTTACAATGGAAATGATGTGGACTTCTTTGATATCAGTAAGCCTTTGGCATTTGGAAGCACGGGTTTGTTCTTACCCGACTTGATGAGGATATGTGTGATGAGATCTCTGTTCTCTTCTTCTCAATGTAGGTGATGAAAGCAGCGGCGAGGGAAGCGGAAGTGGATGTGAATATCAGCAGTGCCCTTCGGAGATTGAGTACAATGCCACTGACCATTCTGGGAAGAGTGCCAATGAGAAAGCCGACAGTGCTGGTGCCCATGCCGAGGCAAAGCCCTACCTCCTCACTGTCCTTTGCCTCTTGTTCTTCGTTGTGCAGAGAGAGTGGAGATAATTGTCAAACTCTCAGTAAAAGTGTTCATCATCAGAAAGTTAAAAGGCACCCGTTCTCACTTTTTTACCATCCTAGTGACTTTGCTTTTTCAATGAATGGACAACAATGTACAGTTTTTACTATGTGGCCACTGGTTTTAAGCAATGTTGACTTTGTTTTTCTCCTTCAGTTTGAGGGGACAGCAGGGATTCCTGCGATTTTAAGTTTGGTCGTGCTCCTTCAGAATCGTGTTAAATGTGGCTAACAGTGTAGAGACAGAACTGTAGTTAGTCGTACATTGTGATCTTATCACGATTGTTTTGTTCTGTTTTTTTTTCCTCTCTCATTTTATTTGTGGGGTTTTTCCTTTCGAATTATGATCTCACCTTGTTTCTTACAAGAAAACCAGGGTCCTTTCTTGGCATGTAACATGTACGTATTTCTGAAATATTAAATAGATGTACAGAAGCAGGTTTATTTATCATGTTATCTTATTAAAAGAAAAAGCCCAACAAGCCGTAAAATTTCCATTTATCCCTGTTATTTGAGCTGCCTTATCTCGAGAGGAGTGGAGGCGACTGGGTTTTCTTTCTTTTGTTTGTTTGTATTCAATTAGCCAGAATGTGAAGGCACAAGCAGGCTTCCAAGCCACTTGCCAGATTGTATTCAAACACCAGTGCAAGAAGAGAGTTTAGACTTCACTCATAGTTGGGTGCAGGGAGAGACTTCAGACCACCCATTTTGATTGAGTGAACTCACATATAGTTCAGTTTCTTGAACCCACCCATACTTAAAGTGTACCACATCCAGGAAAATAAAGATTCTTGATGTAGTTGCCCTTGAAAGATGAAAGGTACTCAGGATGCCCCACTTATGCCGTGTACACACTTGGACTTGGGTGTATAGTAAAAACCAGGCAAGTTAGGAAGCTGCAATGTACCAGTTTCTGTATCCATGCTGATACTCTAGTATTGTATCCCAATGGCGGTAGCAGGTGACCAATAATCTCATTTGTTCCCCTGTGTTGGAGTGATCCAGATTTCTGACCCACTGACCACGCTGGGAAGAGTGCCATAAAAGGGGAGCTGTCTGGCAGCTAGCCAGAACTGGGGTACAGCCTGGGCTCAGGGAATAGCTGTCACCACTCGCTCAAGCAGAGTTTTTGTCTGTGTGTATATATTTGCATTTTTTTAGACTCCGGTTTTTAAAAGCGAGTGTAAGGTTATCTCATTTGATTGATTTTCCTCGCCACTCACTTTGGAGCAGTTAAATGAAGGACCCAGAGTGGTTTGCAGCCATTTGCTCTCCATCCTACCAAAGGAGCCCACGAGAGGAGAGCTGGCTGTCTAGATTTTTGTATTGTATTTTTTGTGGGAGGAATGCGAGTAGATAGAGCTGAGAAGACCACATCTCCTTGGTGACCGCTAGCCACATGGGTGAACTGGCAAAGCCCTAACTTGTCCCAGGCCAAAGACTTGTCCACTGCCTTGCCCCCTTGGAAGCCCTTTTCTTGTGTCCAAATGACCAGTCAGAAAATCTAGAGAATGTAGCAGATCATTTCAAAATGAGTTCTGAAAGAGCTTGAGAAAGACTACCACCATGCACGTTTCTTCCTGCTCTAAAAGTCAGTAAGATCTCTGAATTCTACAGAACCAGAAGCCCACAGACAAGTTGTTCCATGTTACTGTTCAATCTTCAGTTGTAAGAGGAAAGCTCTATTTTTATATTGAAACACAATTACTTGATAGCTCAGGGTCTACATTTCACTTAACTTTTTACACCAAATTCTGCAGAATGGTCAAAATGGAATATTGGGGGCTGTTGTAAACAGAGGCTTAATTTTATTAGAAGTAGCCAGTTATTTATTAAAGCACGATGTTAATAAAATAGGCATATTCTGGCTGGTGTGTATAAGTGGTTTTTTTTTTTTAAGCAAATCACAGGAAACATAGCTCCATTTATATACGAGGAAAAATAGATTGTAAATAGCTGGGCTGCCTTGTGAGAACTTGGAAAATGTGCTGATAGTTAGTAAGTACCTCAGTTGTGAGGAATTTCCTTTTTAGCTTAGACTGCTATTACTTTTACTTGGTAGAAATGAATCTGGTCTCTAAAATATGGCTCAAAGATTTATCCCTGTAGACCTTGTTAGATTGTTTTTAATTTAAAACCTTGAACTCTGCCCAGCTGTTTTCTTTCAGTCAAGTCCTCCAAACCAATAACATTTTCCAAATTAAATATTCTTGAAGGTTTTTCTGGACGCTTACTGATTTGTTTTCTTTCTTTACATTTTTCCTCTGTTACCCTTTTATTATTTAAATTGTCTCTTGCTTTTGAACTTGAACTATGAAATAAACAAATCATAGATTTTTCCATTCAGGTCTGACTGGACAACTTTGGCTTTTCACCAGCTGGCAGGCTTACCCTCACCACCACCCCTCCCCCCCAAAAAGAGAATAAAAGCAAGTTGAGTATTTGAAAAACCCTTGGAGTTTGAAGTATGAGGCAGAATAAAAGCCTTAGGAGCAGACCTGACTTCTCCAAAGTTAGCAGCATGTGAAGGAGCTGAATTTTACCAAGTTATTTATAAAGTAATTTTCTTTCAAACACTTCACTGACTCTGCATTTAAGAAAAAAATATGGAAGGGATTGTCAGAAAGGGGATTGCAAAGCAAAATAGACAAAAATTTCGTAAGGTAGATTGTATATTATTTTTAAATGGGCGAGCACCTATTATTTGGATAAAAGTAAAAACTGCAAAGAATTGATTTGCACCTTTAAACTTGAATTAGACATTTAGAAACCTAAAAGTTTACATGAAATATAAAGTGTAACTTGTGAAAATAGAACCAATAATAAAGTAAGTTTAGATGATGCCACATACAATTCAACTTCCCATTTTGTGTTGAAAGAATGTTTATTTACATAGTGAAAGGGTTTAATGAGTTAATAACAGTATCTACTAGAGGAATGGCTGTGTGTGTGTGTGTAGGAGGGAAGGAGGGGGAGAGAGAGATCTCATTGTTTGGCAAATACAAAATACATCTTGCTGGGCAGTGGTGCACGCCTTTAATCCCAGCACTCGGGAGGCAGAGGAAGGCGGATCTCTGTGAGTTCACGGCCAGCCTCGGCTACAAAGTGAGTTCCAGGAAAGGCTCCAAAGCTACACAGAGAAACCCTGTCTCAAAAAAACAAACAAAAAATACATCTTGCCCTCTTGGAAACAACAGAAAAACACTCAGAAAATATGACTCAAACTTACTGGGGAAAATGTAACTGCATTGTATCGATAACCTCATAATTGAATTTCTATATTGTTAACTTAATTCTTCTAAACCCCCCTCTGTACTTATAAAACTACTTGAAGAGGCCTGAGGCAGCATCTCAGTTGATAGAATGCTTGCCTAGCATGTGCAAGGCAGCCCCACGTTCCATCTCCAGCAGTCCGTAAACTGAATATGGGGACACAAACATCAGAGGGTCACATTTCATTCTCCTAATTATGTTAGCTGAAATATATTGATAGTGGATGATCCTAATGATAATGGATCGATCAGCAGGTTTAGGACTCCTGCACTAGGGATGTGACCTCACTGGTGCCCTACTTCCATTTTTAATGCATATGGTTCAGAGTCATCTCAGTAGGTTTTCAAGAAGCAAATATTGAATAGAAAAAGGAGCCATCTGGGATTATGGGGCTATGACTCACGTGTAGTCCATTTGTGGTAAGATTCAGTCTTGTTATTACCATTTGAGACAACACTGACCAAAACTATCGGGAAAACTGGCTTAGAATGTAGATAGCACTACGAGTAAAATGCTTGGTAGTGAGGCAAAGGAGCGTTTTTGATCTGGAGTGTACTTGTGATTTCCTAGCATAAAGTACTTTCTCGATGCTTTCTCAAGCTTCTGGTGCTTCCAGCTTTGTCAGCCACCACACGGGCTAGGGATGAGAGTATTAAGAAAATGTGGGAATGGCCGGGCGTTGGTGGCGCACGCCTTTAATCCCAGCACTCGGGAGGCAGAGGCAGGCGGATCTCTGTGAGTTCGAGGCCAGCCTGGGCTA